TTTCCTTCTTGATGGAACGGAAGAAACAAAATAGAAACCTCAGCAACTTCAATTGACGGTTATGTCTCTTAAATTCGTTAGAGGATATAATGGATTCTCGCCATTCATAACTAGGTTGACGAACGATATATTGATTTCTCTCATAATTTTACTCAGAAAAATTCTACAAAAAAGAGCAGCAGAAAGATTGAGCAAATAATCATCGGGACAAGATCTTACCAAAGCTCCTATCCAAGGTACTAATTTTTTTTCCCCATCGATTCGGATTTTTTAAAAAAATGGTATTTTATGTTAATTGATGTCCTTTGGCGTTTTTACATATACGTTGTGGGCAAGAAAAATAATCAGAGAGCCCAAATATACTCTTCCGAAGTAACAAATATCCACTTTTGCATCTTCACAATTCATTTTTTGTTGTAATAATTATCTTCATCGTAATGTAATATCAAATATAAAAATCAGTGCTTTATTTTTATATTCTCATTTTTACATACACCGTCGTTTGAGGTTCCGTGTCATAAATTCATTTACTTATAGATCAGTAGTTGTTGCCTTAACCATGTGCCCAATCAAAAATGTTTCTTATCTGCTCTACATGATTTTCTTTTACTGCGGTGCAGCTTGTAAAAAGCCCTGTGGCAATTAGAGGTGATATTCACAGCCAAATTCATGATCTTGCTGACCTTTACGCATTGGAGGGAAGATAACTTATTTTCTTTTGATATTAATATGCTTATATTCTTTTATTTCTAAGTTGGTGGAAGTTTATATTTGAGACTGACAAATGGGGTCGAGGACGTAGGCTGCTTTATGGTACCATAACAGGTTGGATCTCATCATCAGTCACTTGGTGTTGTTGATTTTTTATCATTTTCCTTTAAAAATAGAAAAAATGCTTTCATGTATTCTACACAATTCCTCTTTTATTGATATAATTCTCTTTATTTTTGTTTTATTTATATACTAAGGGCCTGTCTGGCACCACTGAAATTTTGGATTAAAAGTGAGTTTTGAACCGTTGGACCACTCAACAGTAGCATTTTCACAATCTGGGCTGAATGTATGTGAGAGAAAGTCAAACAAAGCGACTAGAAAATCAATTGCACCCTGTTGAAAATGGGAACCAGACACGCTCTAAGTATAACACATTTAACTGCACAGAAAGATTTTCTGGCACGTCTACTTCACAATATGTTAATCTTTTCATAGGTTGCAAACTCAAGATATGGACAATAAAAAAAACTAGAACATGGGATACCAATTTTGGATAAAAAAATATTATTGATTTAATCTGAAAATGTTGTACAACTCTTGTTTAAAACCAAAATACACAATACAAGAGCAATTACATGGTGCTACATCTTTGTCTTTCAAATATTTCTTTTATCCCTCCTGTTATCTAATGTCCTGCATTATTTTTCTGATGCTAATATCACTTCATTATTATGGGATTTTGGAAAGGTTTGCACCTAATCTTTTCCTTACTACTTTTAGATAACGGAGATGATTTTAAATTTTTACCTAATTTTCATGAAATTAGTCTGCGATTGCTATTTGTAGATGTTTGCAGGTGTCCTCTTTGGGAACCTCGTACTTCTTTGTGTTGTGTTTCTCGGAGCGAGAAAGTTCTTTAATTCATAGGTAAACATTTCTTGGATGTACATAAAAGCTGGAATACATATCACATAAATGCTCTTTTCTCTCTTTTATCTTTTCCC